GAACTTTAGGCTTGGCTAATGCTTTCGTTTCCCCGGGTGTAAATAGCCGGGGGGAATTAGTACCCTCGCACGGCGCTTCGCGCCGTCGGCTCGGGGACAATTATACTTAGAACTGCTAAATATATCATCTAAATAGCATTAACGAATCAGAACGATACATTGAATACGGCCCGATATACATGCAGGAAATAGAAAATCATAGCTACAACCGAAATCCGGTTGTTACGACACGAACTTTTAATAACATTTGTATATCAGGCATAAGTAACTGTACTGTATACTGTATATAAGTAAGTAAAATCCTTTATTTCCATGAGGGAAACGTATTAACCATAATAGTTACATGACAAAATCCAATAATTGAAAATCCAATAATTCAGGTAATTGTAAAGTTTGTTACAATACATTAGTCTTGCATATTTCAAATCTATCTACGTTTCGCTTTAACCCGCAAGTGTAGCAAATCAAATGCTGCACACATTTGGTCAAATGCACGGCAACTCTCCAACTGTTTGAGCACATATTGCTTGATGAAAATATATTATGCACAATGCATTGTATGTTAGCTAAATCGTTTTCTTCTAATTTCCAGCCACCAAGTAATGACAAATGTATTTTTCATGCATGGAATTCATGACCGTACTCTTCATGGTTTTATGATACACTCGAGGCAAATGAAGCTACAGTGGCGACGGCGAGGCACCCCCTCCGACATTCAACGACCGCCCGGTACACTATTTGGACAACGAGATGCGAGAGCCGTTCGCGTGAATGCGAAGTTCGCCGGTTTGGGTCTCGTCCTTGTTGGATAATGCATTCCACTTTGCCCAATCCGACCACTCCTATGACCTCACCCACTCTTTCAACAGCTCCATCAACGGCAGTGATGGTCTCGACTGTCAAGTACATGGCATCGTATCTGCGTAAAAGGAAGCGTCAAGATCCATTGCCCATGTGTTGGAGGACCGAGGAACCCACGCGCCGTGCCGAAATATTAATAAAATTGGAGAAGAAATCCATTCATTTCTACGACGGGGACTTATACAAAATTTTCGTCGACGACCACAGCCACCGAGACCTAATTAATTGCCCTTGCAGCGCAAAGAAGAAAATAACGGGTGCGTTTGTTGGACAACGATGCTCCAGAAATGGCGTTCGCGGTCCGCTTGTAATAAGAAAACTGGGCAGCACGGCGTCTTCAAAAGTGCATCACGTTTTGATATGGCACATTGGTCTGGAATCCTTGCAGACAGTACGCCAAATGATGTTTGAAGCAACACAGGTATATACAGGGTGTATCAAAATAAACGCAATTCATCTTTTGTGCTTAATAACTTTCGAAATACTATTTCTAGTTAAACGCTTTTAGGCTTACTTCA